TTATTCTCTGAGCTGGATAGTTTAGTCGTGGAGCTTTCATTGTTCTTCTGAACGACATCATCAGCACTTTTATCTGAAGTTTGTGCTGATGATGTTGTCGTTCAGAAGAACAATGAAAACTCCACGACTAAACTATCCAGCTCAGAGAATAAAACTCCATCAAAACCATCCACCTGAGTTACAAATCTCCACCAAGTCTTTATTAGTGTATATTGTGCTTATATATATATATATATATATATATATTTCATCTATTTGACAAATATGGATTGTTTCGTAAAATGTTTTCACTTATTTTCATCAATCGACTTTGTGTGTATGTATGTATGTGTGTTTCAGTGTGTAGATGAGATTGATTTCGCAATACAGTTTGATTTGAAATTGTTGTTGTTAATCACTGAAAAATTCCAATAATATTAAAACACAACTATATAAACTTTTTCGACCTTATCTATAAAGTATATGATTCTATGATGCAGGATCTTAATATAAAGTTCCTTTCTTTTTTGTTATTGCAAAAGAATAAAACTATGAAAGTTTGTATATTGATTTGTTCAAATAGTTTCTTTTTTGTTTGTTTGTTTATGTCTCTTCTTCTTCTTCTTAGTGACCTGTCTATTGTCTTTGTAAGTAATTGTGTTCTTTGTTATTGTCTTATTCTAATATTTTACTTGTATATTTAAAGTGAATTAATTTTGTAAGTATTGTATATTGATATAAAATAAAGTGTTTCTTGAATCTTATGTCATATATTTAACCGGTAAAATATTTTACAATTTTGTTATTGTTACCATGGTTACAATTCGATGAAAGTAAAAAAAATTATTTATTTCAATGAAATATTCTTGCATCTATTTATATTTTATCTAATTATAAACAGCTTCCTTTTCCTTTATTCAGTTTAGCTTGTTTGTTTGTTTGTTTTTTATCTTTTGTTCTTGTTTTACTAATTTGTTAAAGATAAAACTAATTTTTGTCCATTTGGGGGGAGGTTAAATCATTTCTGGAAATTATTGTTGATATTAAGTTGATTTATTTTGTTTTTTCTTGATATGCATATATGAAGGTTTGTATATTGAATGGTTGTTCATTTTACAATTTAGGCGCCAATTCATATGACAATAATATGCATAAGCTTTTTGTTTTTATTGTAATAAATTGCATGAAATTCTAATGAATAACTGTAATGTGTTTTTACTAAATATCAGCTCGATTTATAGCTCTTCTATAGTTATTTCCGGTCTTAAGCCCGAGAGAAAGGAGAAGGTTGGGCATGGACTTTGGCGACCTCATCCAGTAGAAAAAGTCTTGTTAGAAAAAACGCCAACAACAATACAATACGTATAAAAATTGAAGCAGATGTGAAAAGGATTTTGCTAAATATTTCTTAACTTTGTAAAATACTTTCATGATGTCCAAGTTGACGAATTTATCTCTTCTACGAAGTTAGTCAGTGGAGTCTTGTGAGAGACGCTCAAATCAAGATCAACCGTCGTTAAAAACAACGGGTCGTAATAAGTGCGTTATTACTTTACTTTTGCCGGTTATGAATAACCTAGAATGTCCACAACTTAAATTGTAAAGTGTGAATACCATGGACGTCGACAGTATTACCCAGAAAGATCTAGAATGCTGTTTCGATCTGATATTCCTGAATGATTTCAGTAATGCTATATTTTTGTGTCCTTTGAAAACAAGGTCCGGATGCTGGAGTTGAGATTCTCCGTCAGAACGTGGTTAAGCAGTAATCGAAATATGTGTGCATAGAGTTAAGACTGAAAAGTACGTCATCGATGAAACTCTGAAGGTTTTGCACAGTATTTCTTGAACCGGGAGTGTACGAAAATGTATACAGTCTGTACGGAATGATGACAGCTGTTTCGCAAGTGTCTCCTTAAAACATTGCAATCTAATTACCTGCCTTAGCATGTCAATTTTAGATAGAACAGTCTGACGTTTTAGGTTAGTTGTGATGTCATGGATGTATGGCAACGGGTAACGACCTTAGATGGTTCTCGTATTAAGTCGCTGATAATCACCAGTTGGTTGAATTCATTGCTGTCTTTTCAAGCGACCATGTGAAATGAAGATTGTCAAGTGCTTTTTAACGATCGGATAAATCCCAAAACTATCATATTCTCGAATTCGCTTTTGACAGGTCTGATCTAGTCGTGGCGCTTACAAATATACAAATGGTCATGTAATTTAGATGTAGTATGTAGCTGATGGTTGTTCTGGTCGTGTTTTGCAAGGCTCAAGGTACCCATCCCATATCTGTTTGACGTTGAGATCGGTTATATAATGGAAAAAAGTGATGTAAGATGAACTATCTGACCACCTACTTAGGGAAGATCTAATAGACTAGTCACAAAACCGCTTCTTCAGAATAACGTCCAGCAATATATTCCTGATAAACTTCTTTCACCAGGTTACTCGCAAACGTGATAAAAAATAACGGTTATACTGTATTTCGATATTAAGAAGCCTTTTGGTAAGGTAATTCGTAACGAAATAATCAACAGACTTAAGTCAGTTAGAAAAACAAACCCACTATTGCAATGAATTAAATCTTTTCTCAAGAACAGACACCAAATAACCGAAATCAACTCTGCTACATCGACCTCGCGGTCAATAAACAGTGGTGTTGTGCAGGATAGTGTCTTGAGTGCATTGCTATTTACAATCCAAATCAACAATATATGCAAGGGCTTTAACACAGATTAAACCTACCTTTATTCTGATGACTCAAACGTCATATGCAAAACTGACACTTGCGATGTGCGTATTACTATGCAGACAATACAACATAAACTCATCAAGGTAATTAACTGGTATAAACACTGAGGGTTAGATACATGTCTTCTAAAATGGAACTAACATCTAACGAGAACATACTGCCCAAATTCATATCAGTAGCCAATCTAGTAGTAAATTACTCATAGTCTTAACTTCCCTGAACATAACTCCTCCAAACCATCTAAATTGCTTAGCTCTTTTCTTCGTAACTTCCTTCAAAATGAATCTAAAATCATTCTTTACCAGGTCTATGTAAAACATGTCGTTGAATACTCTTATTTTCCAACGTACGCCCTTTCGATATCCTTCTTGTGAAGGGAATACAACAAGATTCCGCCCGTAGAATACTTAAGACCAGCTCGCTCATCGACTACAGTTCCCCAATCCATGTCTTAGGACTAAAACCCCTATGGAAAAGATGGCTTTGGTCCAATATGATTCTCTTCTTCAAACTCTAGAAACAATTTACTTTATATGTAATATAGTTCTTGCTTATTGCCTACATGAATACGACCCTCTGTAACCAATAAACCGATTGGGATAGTACAAAAAACATTGGCACCAAGTTGATGTCAGTTCCTTCTTGTCTACTTTTCATCAGCCCTCTACTCTCATGTGCACTATGCTGACATAACATTAACTTTATTTCACTACCCACTGTTTTATCTGTAACTAATATACTTCTCTACTTTCCCGCCTGCTTCGCTATACGACTTTCCTGAATCTGGTGTGTCATGTGGACGCGATGCCACTTTGGAGACATATTTTTTAAACTGCACTCAGTGTAATACTAAAACATAAACCTAGTGACTTACGCTCTAAGATATCTGCACTAATGTACTGTCTTTTACTTTCGTTGATTAAATCTATTTAACAACACTACTTTGGAATCACGCTGTAAACAAAGTAATGTTGTGGTTTATAGATCATGCCTGTAAAAATGGCGCGTACCTTTCCCGACAGAAATATATCATATGTTTAATCTTGACGAGACATAACCTGCGACCAGAAACTTAAGTTCCACAAACAGATAATTTAGCACCATCGTCTACTAACCTCCGTTTGTTTGAGTAGATTAGTAGGGTTTGGTATTATAGGACGTTTATGCAAATGATTGGCACTGAAAAGACTGCAACAACGAAAATCCAGTCAATATATTCTTTAGTAGCGCTGAACATTATATTAGTAAAGGCCACGACAGGATTAGATTTTCACTCAAGGTCTCAAAGATTGACTGATCACATCAAAAAAGTCTACAATGTCGTGATTAGGTCTATTATTAAAGTGGTATTATTACCAAACTAGACCATAATTCTTTAAACTCACATAAAGTAAAACGTACATCTTACCGACTGTGGTGACAATGACATCATTAGTTTCACTTAACACACTGAAGCTGAATGCTCTCGGTCACATCCTCATCAGGCACGTCGCTCTACAACCAGTCAGCTCGAATTACTTATCAACATATCGATAACTTCAAATATAACTTCGAACTCCTTCATTCCTGAATTCTGTTTCGACTGCCTTTGAGGTCTTCGATCATGAAGGTTTTAAAAACAACAGCCTCGTTAAATTTCGAATATTCGTGAAATCTTACTGCTATACTATAGAAATCAACAACGATCAACTAACAAAATATTATCCGTGTTGCATTGGCAAAAAAAGTGAATTATGTAAAACTCTTTCGAGTCAGTATTTTTAAACATGCAATGTTATCATTGTCACTTGGCCGTCCGGTTATTTCATACGCAAATAACAGAAATAGTCAGCTTAGGCTTCTGTATTCCGAAATTCGGACTAAAGTTACAAGCAAAATTTGAATTTTGTTTGTACTGGTTATAAAAATTTTTGACGGTTTATTTTACTTCACTTTTCTGGAGAGAACACTGATTATAATCGACCTTCAAAAGGACGCGAGGTAGTGAGTTGTTTTTCGGCGCGTGATATATTTGACTTATTTATAATGTACGTATTCATCCTTCTTGGTCATCTTTTGTACTGTTAACTTATAATGTATTTTCAAAATCCCTAAGACCACGTTTTTTTGTCTCCCTAGTTTTTCATGTCAACTGTGTAAACCACAACTGTCAAACTGATTCACGATTTAAATAACACTGCAGTACTGACATATTCCGGAACTGAAATCGGTTCTTCACAAGCGGAGAATACATCAAGCTAATTTTCTGCTGTGTATGTGAATTATGGAATATAAGGACTACGTGACGAGCCCACTTTTAGTTTTTGATAAGGTTCATGGTACGTAACTAATTTCGTAATTGGATCATCTATTTTTCAAAAAGGTGGCTCTGAAGAATTTAACAAAATCGATTTCTTAGTTGAGATACAAAATGTCTTGCGGAATCATTCTTCTAAGGTTTGTTGAATATACATCTGACTTTATTACATCAGGTTCCATTATTTGGGAACGTGTCCTTAGAACAAATTCCTGATGGACATTTGGTGCGCGTTGTTGGAATGGTTCAGGATATGTTCAATGCAGAGTTGTTTATGGACTCATTTCGCCTGTCGGCAAATGACAACACTACCAGGTCTCTTAGGTATCGGGATTTCAGCTCTTTTGAAGTAGGTTTCAAATCTTAGACCACATGTCAAATTGATATTTAAAATAGCTTGTTTTTCATCTAGCATTTTGACCTTTGCAATACACAGCCTGTAGTTATTTCATTTGCAACTGTTTCCTATTGACCACTGGGAATTTTCTTGGAACTATATTTCAAATATGGTATTAAGCTGTATGAAATCTTAACATAAGCAAAACCGCTCTTATTTGATCCTGTATCATTTACTTGATTGTCATTTTGTCCGGTTTATGATGTAACAGCTCTTTACTAACCTTATACTGTCTCTCTTTGGCCCAATTGACAATTCACTTCGTTGTTTACTGGTTGGGGACTCTTTTTATGTACTTACTATTTTTTCTGTTTTTCGCCTTCCACAGTAAAATGGGACATGTTTTTTCTTGCTTTGCATTGTACTTAGGGTTTTAAAATTTCTATTAGGGTGATGACCAAAGGTACGGATACTACATACTGTAATGGAGTTCCGAAAGCTCCACAAGGTCCTTTATATGTCGTACACTTGGTATTCACTACCGAATTTTCTAGGAATAGTATCTCAAGTGGTCAGTTTCATATGAAAAAAACGGATAAGACATGTTAAAACCAAAATTAATCATGTATCCAAGATATTGGATATTCGATGCGATCTTAAATAAAGTCAAGTGGTCCGTTTCCCTTATAACGAAGACCGAAGACTGCGTTATCTTCTTTCTATTTGGATACACTTAATATCTAATCGTTCTTTAAACGTCCCCAGTTTTATTTGAAGGTTTCTACAGTGTATCTAAAAGATTGAGAAACGTCTAGTGATTATTCCTCTGCCTGTATATGTGGTTATCAAGTCATGGATCACGGTAACTCTCGTATCCCTTTTATCTGCATTATTGGACGTAGGTGCTCCGTTTTGTTCGTTAATTCATGTCTTCAAGACGATTATTTCTGATTTCATTGTGTTTGAGGCTTAATCTTGTGATATCATCCGTGAATCAAACAGTCATTGTCACCATATTCGGATCGATACCCCCACTACCTTAGCACAGTTAACACGAATAGCGGCAAATGAGTCAAATAGATATTTGTAATAATGACGATAAAAAAGCTAAGAATTAAGGCGGATAATAGATTGCTCGTATATGATAAGTGTGTCTCTGGACAATACTTTAATAACGCATACTTCATTTAAATCAATTGTAACTTGCAGTCACGTGCTTTTGAACACCACCGAGTATATATCCTGGCATTCATCCTTGATTACAAACTTTTTGATAGTTCAGTAACTCTTTGTTAGAGGTCAAATAGTGTGGTTTGAGATTACATGTACCTAAAACACGGTTATTTCAAGAAGGGATGAATTATAATCACGAATATTCATGTTCTTATGTAACATAGGTTAAAAAACAGTGACGTTCTGTAAGTATTCAAGTCTCCGTTATTTTTGCTGAACACAACCGTCCATGCTTTAACGAAATAGTCATTTATTACGTATGTTAATTTGTATGTGATCAACGAATTTTCCTTCGGGAAATTTATTTTGGTTAGAGCTTTGCAGTTAAGTGTCTAAATGTGGTAATTTTTACCAAGCAATATGTCTTTTATTGTCCGTCCTGAGTACGGTATAAAGTTAGTTTCGATAAATACTTGCTCAGTAACTTTATTACAATAAGCGTGAGCTAATCAAGATCAAATATATAGATTTGAACCCAGGTCAGTTTTACTATATACTTCAGTACACTGATCATCTAATCATTTTTCTCTATAATACAACTTCAACAGTCTATGCTTGCTTTGGTAGTTAAACATTCATATAATGTTCGTGTTATTTCTTGAAAAAGCAACCTTAACCGTTTTATTTCACAGAACAGTGAGGATGTAAGTCCAATTGATGTCAAGTTTTCTGAACGCCAGTCCTTCTACATAGTACCAGTACCAGGAGAGTCTCCCTGGGTCAAGGAAATATCCTTTTTGTCTTTATATTTATAACGTTTTTTCTAGTTTAGATATATGAACCCCCATTTCAGCTTTTGAGTAAGGAGAATATATCTTATTTTAGTGATTGTTTTATATTTTGTTACTGAAATAATTCACTTTCGTCTGTAATCCCACGAAATTGTATTCAACAATCAGATATAGGCAACTTAAAACCTGCAACAGTACATCAGCACAGCAAGATGAAACCCGAAGTAGTAGTATCGATAATAATAGTATAACTAAGGATTAGACATAGAAAATATGAATCTTACAGAAAGGATGAATTTGCGTCGTAAAGTATATAAAATAATTTAAAAGTTGGGGTCTAAAGAGTGATAAGAAGCAAATGCATCTGAGCCATATCGCTCATTGTCTCCAACAATTTGTAATAATAATCGCACAGATAGCAACTACGCAGTCTATATCTACTAACATAGGTCAGATCAAGAATCACTGACTTCATGAACCAAATGGTGCTACGTTTTGGTTTCATGACCTCTTGCTTCCTGTCAACCTATTACTACTCCAACTAACATTGTTTGTTGAGATAGGTGGTTGTTGAGCAAATACAATGCATGTCCCGATCACAGTCAGTAGATACTCAGGTTTTTACTAGTCGATTTAGCAATTTTGCCCAGAACCTTACATTTGAGCTCACTACTGCTCCGTTCAGTGGATCTGAGATACATTGGCAATGATTCGCTTACCATATTTTGTCTTTTATCATTTGCTTAGTGTTTGGTCTCTTTCAATGAAAATGACCAATTATATTGCCTGTTGAAGCAAAACAAACTTCGTAATCTACGCATAATTTATCTTCACCTACTTTAGTTTAGGCAACCGGATAATATCACTAAGCCTCGCACATAATTTATTTATTTAATCACATAAACATTGGTACAAGGAGGCACCAAATACATATGCGCCACACAAACCATTCGATTTGTGTAAGAGCTGGGATACTGTCGGTAGCCCAGACCGAAGCAGGTGGTTTTCTTAGGGGGCCACTCCCCGTGCCTTGAACCTAAAGGTCTGACCCACAAGGCAATGGAGCATCGTAAGGAGATGCAGTCCCATGGAAGCCGGTGACCAACAATTGGTTCATACACCATTTGTTCCCTCAGGATACGGGGGCCAGCCCATGTGCACCATTGGTTTGGAATCTGGTTAAAGCGCTGGACATTCGCTTTTTGTCCTCTCATTTTCGTAAACAACAGTAATGCCACGAGAAGGCAGTGAGTAGGACTTCCTTGGCAGAGGCTGTATATGCGTGGCCGTGTGAGAGCATTTCGAGAGGGAGGGAGGGCCCACCCCACTCTCGGCCATATCAGGGCATTTGGGGGCCCTCGCACATAAAATGTGGCTTAAATCTGAGTATGGGAATCCGTACTCAATGAGTCGCATCATGTAAGTAAGTAGGACATGAATGTCATTAGGAAAAAGCATAACTAATCTAAATGATAGTTGGTTCCAATTTAAATTAGAATTACTTTCCTCCAGATATTTTTCTGCCATTTTTCTTGACTGTATTATCACGTTAGAGTAAAGGAAAGTGAGTATACTTCGCCAATTACAACATCAGGTCAGAAACGTCATTTAAATGAACCTACAGAAGTAATACATAAGAAGCCGAAATCCACAGGTTGGTTACTATCAATCAGTTCTGTGGTTTTTACATTTATTCTTTTTTTAAGCGATGGAAACTAATCCAAATCAAGTGAAACCTCGTAAACATTTTCCTTTAATCGAAGAAGAAAATAATGATCAAAAAATTGGGGCTTTATTACGAGTAAGCTTTTATTCAGGATGTTTTCATGTTGAGAATTTATAAATGTTTCATGTTCTTTTTTATCAGCTGATTCGTCTCAAATTTGTAGTACACTTTTTCTTTAAACAATTGGATTGAGTTTTGTAGCCTCATTACTGATGGTCACAAGTTAAAAAGCTTAATCTACCAATTTTTTTCTAAAAGCATAAACATTAAAAGTCAACCCATTCTTGTTAGCATATTAGGTAAATCGTAAGTTATAATTTGACTGGTTGACTATTCTCTCGTTCGAATTTGAAGAAGATGATATCTAGTGTTGTTGGCTTGCGTTGGCAGTTGTCACTCCTCGGTCACCTACACCTCAAAGGGATACTTCCTAAAGTGCCTATAAAGTAAACTGGATTAGGAGTGGTCTTGGTGACCTAAGATTATTACCGCAGAGGTCGAAGGACAATTGCTTGGGGCCGACCCTACATCGGATTTTAGTTAGTAGTTCTTGATCTGTTATCTCTTAACTTTAAAGGTGTTATCGCGGGTTACGGGAACCATTTAAACAAAATGGATTGTGTCGTTTCTAGGGTTAGCCTTTTTGTAATCGTCTCAGATTAATGGAAATGCTTGTTGTCTGAGGACAGTACTTGGTTGCTGTCAACAGTACGACTTCACCCCTAAATAGTAGATGTATCTGGTAACCTACAGCACATAAAGGTGCACCTAATTTATATTTCATTATATTGGTTATACATTACGAGCCTTCGAATTCTGGCTACACTAAGTTCATGTTTTTCTTATAAATTAATGATAACATCATTGTTATATTTACATTGAAGTTTGACGTAAAACAACCGCACTTTTTCTACCACTGAAAGTACTTTTTGTATTTACGTCAAAGTATTCATATTTCATATATCAGAAGCGTTTTTTGTATATTATAGTAATTTCAGTGGTCGAGATTATGAGTCAGTTGAAGCTAGACCACGATGGAAAACCTGGAATCAATGGATGGCCGTTTGATCACAATGTGATCTCTAAATTGAATAAACTAATACTATGGTGATATGCAAAGATGGATAGTGGCTAACAGTGGAATCCAGGACTGGCGTTTCGTCCTATTATTGGACCCCACAGCAGTGCGCATCTACGACCTCACCTTGCGAGATTCGATCCCAGGACCTATCTGTCTTGCGCGCGAGTGCTTAACCACTGGACCACTGAGCCGGTATCCAACGGTGTTAATGTTTAACTTCAACCAATCCACGAAATTGAGCGACACATCCACTAATGTCTTCAGTGAGTTACTATCTCACAACAGACCCGGTTGAACTCCACTGGTCACTGCTTCTCACTAGAACTTCAGGAAATACCTCTTGAAGCCAGTTACTAGTGAGCATATGTTGGTTCGTATCAGTGCTGAAGAGTCCCACAATGGGACGAAACGGCCGTTCATTGCTTCCAGGTTTTCCATGGTGGTCTAGCTTCAATTGAGTCATGATCTCAACTATTCATATTGAGCCGAAAATATCCTGATACAATATAAATGGACGTATTAATCTGAAAACAGTATAAATATGTAACAAATATGAACTCTTTCAATCCTCGCTATTGTAGCATAGTATTGAAAAAATACCTTCTCTGTAGGATTATTCTTTAGCAAAATCACAACACTGATACTATTTTTAACCATTACAAAATGACATTAGACAAAAAGTTGAATGGTTCAGTTTAATTTGTCGGTTTGGGCACCCGGACAGTATCCCAGCCCTCACACAAATCGAATGATTTATGTGGCGCATATGTATTTGGTGCCTCCTTGTACCAATGTTTATGTGTTTGAATAAAATAAAATAATAAAAATAAACCATCTGTTATGTTTGAAGAGATTACGAGTTCACCTAATCTGCGAACGGAACGAAGACTCAGCGACACAATGACCAACAAGCTAACTATTCCGATGTGTTCCAGTCTCGCTAAGTAAAGAGAGAAATCCAGGTTCAGAAGAGGGAAATGTATTCCACAAGCAGACAGCACGAAAACAATAATAAACACAGCTCAAGCGTATATATACAGCATAAAAATGTCCTTGGGAAACGTTACAAATAGTGACAACGAACCAATAACAGTTAAGGTCCTCTTAAGTGGGAAATACTACATGAAGCTGAAGATCGGTGCTTTTTGTGCGAAAACAAGTAATTCAAATTTTTAAAACAGAATTACAAATATAAGACATTCACCAAATGAGTTCTGGGGATCTAACATCTCCAACACCATCCAATAATATTTTAACAGCGTGAATTATGGTCGAAAGTAATAAAACTTGTAACTCAGGTGGATGATTTTAATGTTTTGTTCTTTGAACTAGACGATTTAGTCATGGAGCTTTAATAAACCAAACCATCCATCTCAGAGAACAAAAGTCCATCATAATAAAACACCCATTTCATTAGCCAATACTTCTCACCTCTCACCATAGAATTCTAGTTATAAAATCGGCATTAACTTTCTTAAAATCTTTTTTACTCACCTAAATCATTTGTTTTTGTTTGTGATAATCATCAGGTATATGATACAGTACAAACTCAATTGAAAATCAATGATATTGTTGAAGTTTATGGTATATTGGAACATGCACGCCTTTGTGATGCATTACCAGAAGATTCATGTGAACCAGAAGAGAAATGTAATGAACCTCTACCTCGAATACATGCTCTTATAGTTCATTCATTAACACATAATAATCCTCTTGTATGTAATAATACTTCAATTATATCAAGTAAGTAGTATATATATTTCATGTTAAATTATTTTCTAATAAATTGATTTTAGTTAACAAGAATGTTAATGATATTCAATTGATTCGTATAAAATTAATGCAAATCCTTACTACATTATTTAATGGTGATCAAATTGTAGCTGAATATGTACTTTTACATCTGATATCAACCCGGTAAGTTTTTATTTCCTTATATGTATGATTACTAAACTAAATTATTGTTGGGGGAAGTTAGATCCTCAGAATTCACTTGGAAAAGGACCTAATTTTGTCATTTTATTTAGAAACTTTGAATCTCTTTGTTCTCGCGCCAAAAGCGCTCTTTTCACCTTCATGTCGTATTTCCCACTTGGGAGAATCTTAAATGCTATTGGGCCGTTGTGTCTTTTAGTTTGCTATTTTGTAACGCTTCCCAAGGACGGTTTTGTGCTGTATATATATACGTTTTGATTTGTGTCTGTTGTTATCGCTCGTGCTTTTAGCTTTTGTGGAATAGACTTCCCCGCTCGGACTTCGACTTCTCTCTCTGTGCTGGGACGCAATAGAATAGCTAGTTTATTATTCTTTGGTCACAAGTTTTTGTTCCGTTCGCAGTCTAAGTGAACTCGTAACCGCTTCAAACCTAGCAATTATGTAAACCACTAGTCAGTTTTAATAAATGGATATACTTGTTATTTCTTAGCTTTTAATGTAGGGCTCTTAGTATACCACAATATCTTCATAGTATGTAATACTGAAACATATTGTGAATTGTGAATTTGGATAGCGCTGTGGTGAATCAAAAGACCAGGAGTTACTACTGACCTTTGTCCATCTGATTTACAGCGTTCAGGTTTATATACTCCTAAAACCGAATTAAGTGGACTAGCTTTGAACTTGCAACAAAGTAGTTAGAAGTTGATTGTTTAGTCGTAACGCCTTATTAATATTTTTAATTGTTTTGGTATTTAATATTTAATTATTAGGTCATAGGTTAGACTTATTAAATTAAACCATTGGTTATGCTGCATAAGTCAGTCATCAACAACGTAGAACTTCGTACGTACGTACATCAGTTCAAGTTGCCATACCACATTAGCACAGAGGTACAATTGCCAATTCAAATTCCATAGTGGTAGATGTAGTAAGAGTACAGACAGTGATCGGGAAGATTAGGGTTTGAGGATGCTATTCAAAGAGTATGATCCAGTGAAATAAATTCGGAAAGAGAAAAAATAGGGGACATGAAGAATTCAGAAGATTAGGATTTGGGAGAGCACAAAGAGTGGATGCATCTGTGCCATTGCAAACGATTTTAAGCCATGTCATTCAAGGTCTCTAACTATCAGTTGCTATCGTCTCACGGATCCCAACCAGGTAGTCTACACCTACCAACATGACTCAGTCCACTTGTCAGTGACTTCATGGATTTGTGCCATGTTTTGGTCTGGCCGCCCCTAGCTTTCTTCCAACCTACTCCTATACCACTGAACATCGCATGTCGAGGCAGTCGGTGGTCGGGTATACGTAACACGTATCCCAGCCATCTCAACTGATGAAGTTTCACTACTCCACCAATTGATTTCCCTTCCTTACCTAGTACCCGTTTCCTAACAACTACATTACTTACTCGGTGGTCCCAGGATATACGAGCAATGCTTCGAAGACACCTATCATCGAATACTAGTAACCTAGGCATATCCTCTACTCTTACCGGCCATGTTTCACCTCATAATTGGTTGTTCAGTTATCAATTACCTACCAACTTTACTAGCATTCCCCTTAAATCCTGCGTTTTAAAGTTATCGTACATCTTTTTTATGCTGTGAACTCCTTCCTTGTTGTGGAATTATATTTTCTATCCCTACTGTTTTCTCTTCTCAATAATATTACTACTTCTACTGTTCTGGTATTTTTATTGATGTAATGTGGCAACATGGACTGATGTATATATGTACTATGTTCTACATTGTGTACGACTTACCAAAGTCTAAACCACAAGCTCCACTTACATTAGTTTGGAACTTGTTTATATTATAAGTTACCATAAACCCATAACAACTCCTTTCATTTCCGTCTTAGCTTTAGAATTGATAAACAGAATTACAATAGATTTTATTCTGGTACTATGACAGTTCTTTAATAATAAAGATTAGTAAGCTCAATGGATGGGGAAAACCAAGTTCCTCAAATTCAAAACAGAGAACAGCAGTCCAATCACTCTTGATGATGAAACTCTAGAAGATGTAGAATGCTTCACATAAGCATCATCGATGAAGGTTCAGAGGTTCAGATGCAGACGTAAAGGCCAAGGATTGGCAAAGCAAAAGCCGCATGCCTACAATTGAAGAACATATGGAATTCAAAACAACTTTCAACCAATATCAAAGTGAGGATCTTCAATAACAACGTCAAGGCAGTTCTACTGTACGGAGCTGAAACTTGGAGAACTACAACAACCACCATCAAGACGGTACAAGTATTTATAAATGGTTGTCTACGCAAGATATTCAACATCCATTGGCCGGATACCATCAGCAACAGCCTTTTGTGGGAGCTTCCAGCTGAAGAAGAAATTAGGAAAAGACGATGGAAATGGATAGGACATACATTACTCAAATCATCAAACTGCATCACGATGCAAGCCCTAACTTGGAATCTTGAAGGGAAGCGGAAAAGAGGAAGGCCAAAGAACACATTACGTCGGATAATAGAAGCAGATATGAAAAGGATGAATAACAACTAGAAGGAGCTGGAAAGGATTGCCCAGGACAGTGTTGGATGGAGAATGCTGGTGAGCGGCCTATGCTCCTTCAAGAGGAGTAATAGGCGTAAGTAAGTAAATAAACTCAGTAGATAGTGAAATTTACAAGATTAATGGATTTTATTTCCATAGTAGCTTTCTATTGTTTCTTTCAAGGCTAATATGTTCTCTGACTTAAACTGTTTAATCATTAACGACTCATTGTCTATATAGACGACATCAGAAGGATTCATTCTTTGATGTATATGTAGACTATAATATCTAGGAAGACAATGTATACTTCTCAACTCAACTATCCATCCAGCTTATAGAATATAACATCTTTCAAATCCTCATCATGAACAACAAATATTCTTTACCATTCTATTGTGTTTTTGCTTATATTGTCCTTATTTTTTCCTTCTTTCTTATTACAAAATACTCTTTATTTTTCTTAGCTTAACTATAGATTCACAATATCCTAATCATTTACCAGCTATGAATGTGTATGCCAGTCGTTCAATTGCAACAAAATCATCATCAAATAATATTGATAAGTATTTACTATCTGAACTATACAATCGTTTGCATAATTTCTTACCACAATTAATTACACATTTAGCTACTGTAAACCTTACAATAAAATCACTTAATGATGGACCATGTTTATTCCCTATTCGTGATATGAATAAAGGTCATTTAAATCCTGGACGTTTACAATTACCACAAGGGACTGAAGTAAGTTGTTATTTCTGTGAGTAACCATTTAATGATGACATATTTTGGTGGTGTTTTGTTCTCTGAGCTGGATGGTTTAGTCGACTAAACCATCCAGCTCAGAGAACAAAACACCACCAAAATCATCCACCTGAGCTACAAATCTTCTCCACCATCTCAATGATGACATATTTCTAATATAATTAAGGCAACCCATATTGTATGAGCATTCCATGTACCTAAATAAAAGGTTATTCTGGTTGTCAGAAGGAGCATCAGCCTCGTGACTTCCGAAGGAACTCGCGTTTAACCATGAGGTGTCATATTTCTTCTAAATGAAGACCTTCTGACTCCCAAGACAGAGTTTGAATGCTTTTATTTCTGGCTAGCGTCTTTTTAGCAAGTTAGTTTTCTACGGGATGGAGTTGCTAACCCCATATGCCCAACCTTCCTCCTTTATTCGGGCTTGGAATCGGCAGTAGCCCTAGAAGGGCTCCGTACAAAGTCATTATGACCATTACCCAAGATATTTAATCAGCTTATAACTGTCAACTATTCATTAGATTACTACCTGTATGTATTTATTTATTTATTTAAACACTGAAACATTGATACAAGGAGGCACCACATAAATCATTCGATTTATGTGAGGGCTGCGACACTGCTCCGCTGATGCTCAAACCGAAGCAGGTGGTTTTCTTAGGGGGGGACACCCAGAGCCTTCAACCTAAAGGTCTGATCTACAAGGCAGTGGAGCAACATCAGGAGATGCAGTCCCATGAGGGCCGGCGATCAACAATAGGTTCATACTCCATTTGTTCTTTCAGGATCCTAAAGCCCATGTGCACTATTGGTTTGTAACTAGGGTTTTTCAACTACCCTAGGTGAATTTTTCGTGTCCACCAACCCGGTTAAAGCGCCGGACATTCACTTTTCGTCCTCTCAATTTCGTAAACAACACCCCCGCTACAAGAAGGCAGTGAATAAGACTTGTGTGGCACTGGTTGTATGCATGTGACCATGTGAGAGCATTTAGAGAGAAAGAGAGCTGACTCTCCCCACTCTCACCCTCACCAGGGGTTAATTGTACAGATATAACGAATAAATGAAAAACATAAGATTCATAATGTCACTTGAATGTAAATAACTAATAATAACTAACTACTGAATAATAAGTGCAATATAATAATAGAAACAAAAATACACTAGAAGGTGTATTAAAACCATTGGAAGGATGAGAGATTGTGTGTGTTGCACTTGCACTAAGTGTTTAGGCTTGAATTGATAAGTAATTTGTCTTTTGAACTTTATTAGTTTTATTTTCTTCAACACCGTCCTCACTTTCCTTAGATACTTATCAATGAATTAGAAATGGATTCCGGTCAATTACAACAGAAAGGCTTATTAAATTTTCAAGCTTTAAGTTCTGTAGCTATTAATCAACGTTTATTATATGATTTTCAATTTTACACACAAGATTGGGATACAAATGTACGAGTACTAATTCTGTCTATTGTACCGTCGTTAATTAAAGTAAGTTTACATCATTTCATTAATCGCTCCTAGTTACGAAGTACTTAAACGCCCTAAGTATTGTAAACAGTTGAATATCTTGTTTATATGTGATGAACTTTTAAGTGTTTCTATTTGTTTAAAGATAAATGTCTTCGCGAAATGATATCAGTTTAAGAACCTTAATAGTCCATACATATAAGATCAAACGTAGGACATTGATATCTTGCGGCAAGCACGATACCTAAGTTGAAATTCTTGTTCAACGTTCTGATTGAGTGAATATGGAACACGTTCTAAACTCTTGATTCAGCTACTATGTTAGACACTGAGAAAAAGCAAACCAAAACTACTTGAGAAGCATTATTTTCAAGGCTTAAATAATGATATAGATAACTGGTGCATGTATATATTCATGTGTATGCACTAAAGTAGACACAGACATGCAAAAGGTAACTTAGATCAGATACTTAGTTAGCTGCTTTATCAATTTTACTAATAGCATATGATCTGTCTTTCGTTGCCTGGCAATTGGCAGTGGTAAATTAAAATTGCCTTTTAAAACTATCTGTTTTTAGATATACTTGAACTCCTTTAATCATGTGTTCTTATTGAAACTTACTGTGAAGAATTCTTCTGAAAGATCCTTAATAATTGACTTATGGCTATTATCTAAATATAATATAGTGTACATCATCTGTGAAGTATAATATTGTACAAGAAATAGTAATTTTACCAAGATAGTCCAATAAAACGTGCGATGTTCAGTGGTATAGGAGTAGGTTGGAAGAAAGCTAGGGGCGGCTAGATCAAAACATGACATAAATCCATGAAGTCACTGACAAGTGGACTGAGTCATGTTGGTAGGTGTAGACTACCTGGTTGGGGACCGCGAGATGATAGCAACCGATGGTTAGAGACCCTAAATGACATGGCTCAAGATCGTTTGCAATGGCGCAGGTGCATACACTCTTTGTGTTCTCCCAAATTCTAATCTCCTGATTCCTCCTTGTCTCTTTTTTTCTCTCCTCAAATTTATTTCACTGGATTATACTCTTTAAATAACATCTCCAAACCCTAATCTTTCTGGTTACTGCTTATACTCTTACTACCTCTACCACTACGGGATTTGAATCGACACCTGCATCTCTGTGCTAATGTGGTATGGCAACTCGAACTGATGTACGTACGTACGAAGTTCTACGTTGTTACTGACTGAGTCGAATCGAAATATATGAAAGAGAATTTGAATTAGTAGTCTATTAGTTAGAAAAAATGTGCTTCAACCGTTAAGTCTCTATTTCATGTCTGTGAGGATTTTGTGGAAATTGGTGGTAATTCTCATCACAAACTGATGTAAGCTGGTGAATTATTTCGAAATCTCATTCTTATGTTTACAAATAAAGTACAACTTAACTATTTAGTATCCATTTGGGTTACGCATTTAAGACATATCGTCTGTAGTAATCTGTCTCTAATTACTATTTCGTGTTGTAGTAAACTAGTTTTAATGGTTACAACATTCCATAATTGAATCATTATGTCTCATGTTCGAGCTCCGTGTAACTTTATGTAATCAGGGATGCCACTTAACTTCTCTTAATACTATAGTGTTATATCCCGATGAGAATAATGAATGGTAACTTTCGGGATCCATTTATGGACCAATACTATACGTATATTTTTTGTCGTATAATGGTTAGGCAACTCAACTAATCATATTCGTGTTCCTCTTATTATAGGCTTTATTTTAACCTATGGACTATTATTATGCGATTTACCGTTCTTGATTTATGCCCTGTCTATCAATTACTATCTCCCTTATTCACAGTCACTTTTGGCTAAATCTTGTACAAATGTTGTCTCCTATTTTATGGTACGTTGTGGTCTGTTTGATTTGTATAGAAACGAAGCATGTTTGAAATATATGATTCATATCGCAGAGGTTGAGATTTGATGTTCTGGACTTAACAGGCAGAGCTAGACGGGAAGCAGGACTAATAAGGAATCTAGACTACTCGTACTTGTTTTATGCGTCATTGGTCCGATTGATAACTCACTGTTCTCTAATCGGCGGTATCATTACGCCCTATATTAATAGGGCACAAAACCACAAGTTATAACATATGGCTGTATTGAATTTACTGTTCTTCATCTTTATTACATTTGATTTCTTATCTACGTATCTGTATTTTATTTCCATAGTCTACTTTATCATTACCATGGGAACCGGAATCTTTTGACAATATAGAAAATGATGTTCATAGCAATATTTCTGAAAGTGAATTAGATGATATGCGTAAATATTTGACAATATTATCACTTAGTAATGAAAATTATTCAATGGATTCTGAATTACAAGAGGTATGTATGTATCCATTATTGATTACCATATTTATCCTATTTAAAAGTTTTTACATATCCAGTTTATGGAAACTTGCTAGTTTTTACTACATAACTATAATCACGATTCCTTTAATTTCTATCTCTCTCGTTTTGCTATAACTTGTTATTAGACGTTGCTTGATACACGTTTGTGCTACATCAAATGCCATGATACGGTCAAGGGTGGGGAGAGTCAGTTGTTCCTCTCAAAATGCTCTCACATGATCACATGCATACAACCAGTGCCACACAAGTCTTATTCACTGCCTTCTTGTAGCGGGGGTGTTGTTTACGAAATTGAGAGGACGAAAAGTGAATGTCCGGCGCTTTAACGGGGTTGGTGGACACGAAAAATCCACCTAGGGTAGTTGAAAAACCCTAGTTACAAACCAATAGTGCACATGGGCTTTAGGATCCTGAAAGAACAAATGGAGTATGAACCTATTGTTGATCGCCGGCCCTCATGGGACTGCATCTCCTGACGTTGCTCCACTGCCTTGTAGATCAGACCTTTAGGTTGAAGGCTTTGTGTGTGGCCTCCTAAGAAAACCACCTGCCTCGGTTTAAGCACCAGCGGAGCAATGTCGCAGCCCTCGCACAAATCGAATGATTTATGTGGTGCCTCCTTGTACCAATGTTTCAGCGTTTAAATAAATAAATAAATAAATACAGGTAGTAATCTAATGAATAGTTAACAGTTATAATCTGATTAAATATCTTGGGTAGTGGTCATGATAACTTCGTCTGGAGCCCTTTTAGGGCTACTACTGATCCCAAGCCCGAATAAAGGAGGAGGGTTGGGTATGGAGTTAGTAACCTCATCTCGTAGAAAACTAACTCGCTAAGAAGACGCTAACCATAAAAAAATTATTCGTACTCTGCCCTGGGAGTCAGGAGGTCTTCATTTAGAAGAGTTATGACGCCTCATGGTTAAAGGCGAGTTCCTTCGGAAGTCACGAGGTTGATGCCCCTTCTGACAACCAGATCAACATTTTATTTCGGTACATGGAATGTCGGAATTATTGTATAATTCATAATATGTTGATGCACTTACCGTGAGAAGGTAAATCTCATTAAATAGGTTTGACTTAATAATTCCAAATAATTATCAGTATAGGGTTGTGAAATTTGTTGAACTACAAAGTGATCTACGTTTGACAACCATTGGATGGTCGTTTCGTCCTAATATGGGGCTTCTCAACATTGCGCATACACGACCGTGTGACTACGGGTGTCGAACTAAAGACTTTCGGTCTTGCGCGCGAACGCCTAACCTACAAACTACCATGCTGATATCCGACAGTATAGAGGTCTAACTTTAGTCAATCCACGATATTACAAGACCATCCTCCATTGTCTTCGATTGGTCATCGAAGGTTCTTGGTTCGATTCCAGTTCGTGAATATACGATTCTGAGGACTCCCATACTAGGACGAAATGGATGTCTAGTGTTTATAAGTTTCTTATCGTTGTCTTACGAAAATTGGTTTTTCATATCAATAAAATTTCAGATAAATTGATCACTCAGCAGATAGTTGAGATAAAAAAAATAACAATCTATTTGTAAAAGGCCAATGAATAGAAAATTGTATTCCTAACGTTTTGAAAGCTTGTGTAAAGTAAGTTGCTTCTTCAGAAAATAAACAATCAAATTAAGTGAACACCATCTCAAATAGTACAGAGGAAACAAAACAGAATATTTTTAGTTCTGAATAGAAGTTAAAATACGCTTGATTATGCTAATGTCATTTCGGACAGTTTATTTATTTCAACGCATAGATAATGGTACAAAGAGGCACCAAATACATATGCGTCACACAAATCTCATTCGATATGTGTGACGGCTGTGATACTGCCCACCGGGTGCCCAAACAGAAGCAGGTGGTTTTCTCAGGGGGGGGCACATCCAGAGCTTTCGACCTGAAGATCTGATCCACAAGGCAGTGGAGCATCGTAAGGAGATGCAGTCCCATGGAAGCCGGTGACCAACAATTGGTTCATACGCCATTTGTTCCTTCAGGATACTGGAGCCCATGTGCACCATTGGTTTGGAATCCGGTTAGAGCGCCGGACATTCGCTTTTCGTCCCCTCATTTTTGTAAACAACACCCCCGCCACGAGAAGGCAGTGAGTAGGACTTCCCTGGCAGAGGCTGTATACGCGTGGCCATGTAAGAGCATTTGGAGAGGGAGAGTTGACTCTCCTCACTCTCGGCCATACCAGGGCATTTGGGGGCCATTTCGGACAGTGATTGTGTAAGAACTACTTGTGTGTGTGTTGTTAGTGGAAGTGGGAAATGTGAAATTTCTAATTTGAAAGTGTAGAGTTAAAAAATTTTGTTTGTTTATTAGTGGTTTGAGATGTGGACAGAATTAAATGTTTGGATACTTGGATGGACGGTTTATCCCTCCTTTTTATTGAGCACAGTACAGTGCAGCAGTATCTAAAAACTTTCAACCACTTGCCTTTCTTTATAATTGTAAAAGTCTTTTATGTAGCTCAGATGTTCTTTGACACGTGTCATGACTGAGATATAGAATGCATCACAATCTGCACTTTGTAATCTGTAGACTCTGTCCTGTTTCGAGGTAATGGAGATAGCAATCAACCCAAGATATTTCATTCATGTTCATCTGACTCAGTGATCTTTAAGGCTCATGTGAATAAATTTAGAACCATAGAAGTTTTTCACTTAGTGGATGTATTGAGTTGGTTGAAATGAATGTATCGGCTTAGGGTAGATGTTTAGATTTAGGCTACTTGAATTCCTTTTCACTAAACAGTCTAACCATAATTGTTCACTGTGTTCAGTTTTATTTTCGAAAGTTAATTTAATGTGGGCTGAGAAAGTATTTATCAATTTAGAAAAGTTTCTAAGATGAATCTTTTTAATAATGACAAATGAGTCATGTGAATATTCGAATCAAATACACTCCGTGATGGCACTAACAAAAGTAAGCGATGTAATGTATATTATTTTGAAGTGGCTTCATTATATCGCTCAATTATTAAGGTAAAGCATATTGTGGAGTGTTTGTGCAATTCACCATAGGTCTTAATAAGATGTCGGGTTTATAGATATTTGGTAATCCACAAAAACGTGGTTTTGTTCATCAATTGCACGAGACGATAGCAACCGATGGTTAGAGACGTTGAATGACATGGCTTAAAATCGTTTGCAATGGCACATATGCATCCGCTCTTTGTGTTCTCTTAAATTCTAATCTTATGAACTCTTCATGTCCCCTATTTTTTCTCTTTCCGAATTTATTACACTGGATTGTACTTCTTGAATAGCATCTTCAAACCCGAATCTTTCCGATTACTCCTTATACTTTTACTACCTCTACCACAATGGGATTTGAATGAACAATTGTATCTGTGTGCTAATGTGGTATGGCAACTGGAGGTGATGTACGCACGTACGAAGTTCTACGTTGTTGCTCACTAGATGATTCATCAATTGCCACAAGTACAACCTCATCCTATATGTAAAGAAACATCTCACATTTTGATGAAAAAGCAACCTCTTTTACCTATTGTTTCGGGAGAGAAATTGAGAGCTCTAAATTCATTAAAGTAGAAGAAACAGTTGTAATTATAAAAGCCGATAAAAGTAATATAACAGTGTTCGTGAAGTAAGTCTTGATTCCAAAAAAGAAATCACCAAATAGTTATAAAGAAAGCTAAATTAGAGAAAAGTTAACTTTTAAAACAACTGAAGCGTTTTAATTGAGATCATGAACCAATTAAAAACCTGAAAGCACTGGGTCTTGCGAGCGGGATCATGGATGCGCACCTCTGAGAAGTCCCACAATAGGACGAAACGGTCGTCCAGTGGTCTAACATCAATCGAGTCATAATCTCAATCAATAACTTAACAAACCCTATAACCCTATACTGATAAAGCATTTTTATCGGCGTCTCCTTGTGATTTATTTCATTTGCCTAATCTAATCATTCCACTCTTTCCGATTCTAAACAGTGCAACCCACACTTTTATGTCAGATCAAATACTTGTAACTATATTACGTTATAGACAAGTCATCGAACTACTGCACTACACAATCCTTGAGGGTTACAGTTTCCATTAATATATTTATCAACCATACAATAAAGGCATATTTACCTTTCGTCTGATGTAATTTCGTTAATTTTTACATATTTACAGCGAATCAATCAAGATTTTGTTCAATGGCGCAGGGATAAGTCAACATATATAGAAGCCGATGAATTTGCAATTATGCTGTGTTTACTCAGGTATGACATATTGAAAAATCATCCTGTTTTTATCATGATTTATTTTGCTTGTGAACGATGAGTTCGTATTGTTAGCAATCAAAGGTTGACATTTAATTTCCTCTATTATGATGTATAGTGCTGTAATCCTACTCATTCCAACAAAGTCCTTATCATCGGAATTGTCAACCTCAAGTTGATGTTTGTCTGGGCTGTCCACTTTTACTTAACTTTGTCCTAGGCATCTCATTACAGATAACACTCTTACTATCTAGCTTTTTGCGAGCTGACTTCTTTCAAGATCCACTTATTGACTTAGAATACGCAGATAATATAGTTTGATTTGATAACGACTCTGGAAAAAGTTTCCTGACTGTCTTACGCAACAATCCAAGCATGTTTTGCTATCCTCAACAATTGTAATCTAATCTAATATGATACGTAATGTTCTCCACAGTTGAAATGGCTCTTTTTCTTCAACTATGCTATACTGAAAGCATACAACCTTACCCTATATGTGTTGTCATACAAACGTTTTACTAATATATATCAATTCCTAAATTTAATATATCCAAATGATTTTTAAAATTATTTAGATTTCATTGTCTAACTTATGGATTGCAATCTCCCACTCTTGAACATTGGTTACATATTGTTGAGTTGGAATCAAAACGAAAGTCAAGAATTGCGTTATCCAAATTGCAAACCTCATAGTACTTAACAAGAATGCAAAAATGTAAAAAGAAGTTAGATTTAATTATTGTTCGTGTTATTTTTTGATCAATAAAATTTCTCTGTTACTGTTTATTTATTGAAACATATAAACATTGGTACAAGAGAGCACCAAATAGATATGCGCCACATAAATCATTCGATTTGTGTGAGGGCTAGTACACCGCCCAAGTGCTCAGACTGAGGCAGGTGGTTTTCTTAGAAGGCCACACCACGATCTTTGGCCTAGAAGTCTAATCCACAAGGCAGTGGAGAAACGTAAGGAGATGAAATATCATGGTAGCCGGTCACCAACGATTGGTTCATACGCTGTTGTTCCTTCCGGATTGTGGAGCCCATGTGTACTACTGATTTAGAATCAGGGTTTTCCAACTCCTCGATGTAGTACCTGCATACCTACCAACCCGGTCTAAGTGCTGGACATTCGCTTTCCGTCCTCTCGATTTCGCAAACAAGTGATGCCGCGAGAAGACAGTGAGTAGGACTTGTGTGCCAGTGGTTGTACGCACGTTGTCATGTGAGAGCATTTCGAGAGGGAGAGTGAACTCCCGTACTGAGTCACGCTTTTCAAATAAACTAGCTTAACTGTCAAACAACAAAAACTCAAGTCTCTTGGGCTAATTAGAACACGATCACCAGGATTTTGTTCAGCACGAAAGTTCAGGCGATGTTGTATTGATTTTCCTACACAGTTATCAGTTTGTGTAAGTTTTGATTCTCTTAGGATAAAATTTAGACTTTCTCTCTGAGTAAACATATCCTAAAACGATATCGAGTGTCTGTGAGGTAAATCGATAGGAATTTACCATTGGGACGAGATGTGAAAATAATTTAAGTGGGCCAAAGTAACTATTTCGATTTATAATTCCTACCTTGAGAATTACGAATTATGAGATAGTAGTAATGATCTCTAACCTAAGATGATGACAATAGCATTTTGATATACTCTAAAATTCTATGTCATATCGTAAATTGTCCAAATAAGTAACTGTCCGAACGTATTTCCACCTTGAAAAACTTTCATTAAGTTGATATCTTAGGCCAGCCGGACGCTTTTCTGCAAAAAGAGATACCCTTGTAGATCATGATCAACCGGTAAATGTACATGGGCTGTGAACATCATTATTCTGATTTTGGCAATAGTCCCATGCTGCAATATTGATATGCTGTCAGATTCAGTCAACAGAGGTCATTAGGATTGTTAATTTAACAATCTAGTGATAGTGTACCCAACTGTAGCGCTGAACATTATCTAAGAGGACAACACTTCTCGATATACTAAAAAAATGGGAGCTAAGTTCATGGGACTCCCGGCAGAATTAGTTCAGTCGGTCATTTATTAATAATCAATGTAGCGCCTGGCACAAACATGTGTTGACCAAAGTTGGTATTCCGCATTATAGTGAGAAAGACTATGGTTTGGAAGTATGATTCGATTAGACAGGACTGAAAGCTGTGTATTGCAAAATACTGACAGTTAAAATCTAGAAACAAGCAGAATAAATGCACCTGCACTACCGTGATTGATTCCAAGCCAAATCACTCAACGTTGTTAACCAAAAGACACGATAACTGCGCAGACCTCGATCAAACAATCTGCATTTACCAACTTGGCTTAGACCAGCGACCATATAGGCCGATATTATGTTTTGATTTAGCCTGGCCTAGTTTTCTTTAAAGTTTACTTCTACACCAGCTAACGTTGCTTATCGAAGTAAACAATCCTCGAACATAACACTAACAATTATCCGTAAACACCAAGTTTTCTATACAGTGAAAATTAATGTCTGAAGACATTATATTATAATGTTGCTAAGGCAAAATGCCCATTAACTATCTGGAATTCATCAACTCTTGTTACCGTGGCTCAAAGTATGAAGCTTTATTTATTCAAATCAACTATGTATAGAACTTAATAATAAACACTTTATGATTACAATTAGTATGTTCTATACGAATTACTAAGAAAAATATATAAAAACATGTAGTAAAATAGTTTTATTGGAATAGTGATAAAAGTTTGATTTCATATTCTGGTAACAGATCAATTGAAATTATTGGTTGCATTGCTTTCTCATATGCAATTAACAATTCTTGTCTGTGTTTCTATAGAGAGATGGAAATACAATGGATACCAATAATATAGAATTAAAGGAATAGATAGTTATGGTTCTCATTGTAAAATCCCGCTTTACCTACTTCACTGTATTATTATTTATTTAAACACAAATATTGGTACAAGGAGGCACCGAATAGGTATGCGACACACAAATCATTCGATTTGTATGAGGATTGGGGTACTGCCTAGGTGCCTAGACCGAAGCAGATTGTTTTCCTTAGAGGGCCACACCCGGAGCCTTGGACCTAAAGGTCTGATCCACAAGACAGTGGAGCAACGTCAGGAGATGCAGTCCTATGATAGACGGTGACCAACGATTGGTTCGTACGCTATTTGTTCCTTTAGGTGACTGGAACCCATGTGCACCATTAGTTTGGAATCAGGGTTTTCCAACTCCTTTAGGTGGACATTTCGTCTTCACCAGGCCAGTTAAAGCACCGGACATTCGCTTCCCGTTTTCTCAATTTCGTTAACAGCAGTAATATCGCGAAAAGGCAGTAAGTAGGACTTGTGTGCTAGTGGTTGTATGCTCGTGGCCATGTGAGAGCATTTCGAGAGGGAAAGTGGACTCCCCTACCCTCCGCCGTACCAGAGCGTTTGCTGGCTAAGAAATACGATATCACTGCCAGGATTTGAACCTGAGTTAGTGCGGCGGGAGCAGGGAATGTTACCATTACCCATCACACCAATAATGTGTCTCATACTCAGTAGATGGCGAATGAATATATAAACATACATTACCATGTGTCTTCCGAATGCATGTGAAGTTGATCAGAAATCGAGAGTTTAGACCAGTTACCTACTGATATACAGATTTATTCATCTTCCTGTTAAACTGGATGAGTTTTTTTTACAGAATTATAGCAATGACCTTAGTGCTTTGAAAACATTCAATAATAAAAGTTAGTAGTTCGAAATTGAGCTTTCGTCTGTACCAAGTGGTATATACTTAACAGTCAAACAATGATGAGGCCTTAACAGATGTTCTCAAAAGTTATGTATGATTGTTGACTTGCACCAATTCATATCACAAGACTGAGTTTGCTAATCAAGGGGCATGTATTCAGTTTGGGAATTAAAAAGCTGAAGATAAATACATGTCTCGTGTATTCTTAATTTTTGAAATGATTGTAGAGAATTTTCTTTAAAATCAGATTTACCAGTGAGCACTTGGGGTTCTTTGGCTTCAGAAATCGGATGTGGGTTTCGATGTTACCCCTAACAGTGTTTACTGACGACGTGAATTTACTGGATACTAAATGCTCTGCACAATAATTACAGTTTTTGCATGAGAGTCCTTACGATTGCAAATAAAATGTATACTGAGGGGAATTTTAAATAGAAATTAGTCTGACCGATGCATCAGGTTACCTGGGGTTATTAATAATGTGGAAATTTTATTATTCCGATATCCTTGATCTACATTTTTTATCATTATACATCAGTTAGTAAACTAGTCACGTTATATCATATACCGTTCCAACAATTTTCAGATTCCTTGTATCTTATTATTCAAGCAAAAAGAACACAATAAAGTAGGTTGATACATACCCTATATTACATATTTTATAAAGGATGCTCGTATATTAGTCATATTTGATTGTAGATACCGTCAAAGTATTACTAGCAATTCTCAGGTTAAATACATGGAATTGGATTAGGATAGCAAGTTGCTTGATGAAGTAGTGGATATTTATCAACTGTAGTGGTCGGAAAATGTAGCACGTAAGTTCAACAACTTACTTCGACGTGGGATATTGACCAGATAAGGAATAGTTTGGAAGACTAATGACGGCTAAACCAAAACATGACATAAGACGGTCTATGAATTCATTGACTATTGGACTAGTCCATATTAATAGACGCAGATTCCTTGGCTGGGTTTAGCGCGATTATTGTAACCATTGGAGACATTAGGTAACATGACAGAATAGATCGCAACATTATAGACGCATTCGTTGTTTTCCCTTAGATCTTGAGTTTCTAAATAATTTTAAACATTTAATCCCGTGAAGTTAATCATTCTTCTCTTTGAATTATATTGTTTATGTTCCCATATTTTCTATTACTAAAGGTGATGTTACTCCTTTTACTATTCTGATAAACCGCCTTAATGATTTTATATCGCTGTGTTGACATTGTGTACAATTTGAACCGATACACATATGCATCAATTTCTTTGTTACTTATGAGTGATTGATTCATAATTAGGTGTTTCTCAAGAAATACACATTACTTAAGTTTCGTCGTCACTTCAGAAGTATTGCATTTAGAAAGAAAACCACAGTATATGGCAGAGTAGTGTAAACCATTCTACTAGACGACTATTTTTTGGCTCTGGTAGACATAATATCATACAAATCATAAATTGTCAAGAAATATTTCAAAAAGTATAATTATCACATGCATACCTTGGCAACTGATGCTAATTCATCATTAACTTCTTCATTCATAGACTCTGATATTATAATTTGAAGACTGGTAGTAACACTATTATTCTCATCATCTGGAGGATTAGGCGTTGATTTACATGCATGTTGATGGAATTCCGATTTGATTGTCTCAGCATTTGGTAAAGTTCCATCATTGATTGGTGCATTAATACATTTTTTATTATTTTCACTACGCACATTTAACACCTAAATTTTCAAAAATGGCATCATAAGGAAAATGTTATATTTGGTAATTTTATAATACCAATCGTGACTCTCCCTGATGCGATAAGTGTTAACGGAAAGTGTTAGTATAACTCATTTAGCAAGTAAGTGTGAGTTGCATTGTGTCGTGCAATACTGTACAACAAGGCAATTGGCAGAAGTAATCAATGTTTAGTGTGAGAGATTGCAATGTACTCACATAATTC